AAAGTGGTTGGGGTAGATATATAGCTACATTCTGTTAATGAATAGAATGATTTGTTCTAATGGTGTTTGTAAATAGGATCACAAGTCTGCATCTTGTACAGCAATTAATCACTAAGAAGAATATATGCAGTGTATTATTTGTTGAAAAATAAAAAAAAATTAAAAAAAAAAACAAAACAAAGTGAGCTCAAGGCCAGCCTGAACTGCACAGTGAGACCCTGTCTCAAAAAAAAAAAAAAAAGACCTTGCATATCTCATTATGTGACAGGTGAATGTTCACAACAATAGTAAGCTACCCCCAGGGTATCCGAGGGTGAACAGTGGTAGGTGACAATCCTCCTCACTTTCAGAGGCAGCCCAATATATTCTCAGCTGCCTCGTATTCTCAGGAACAAATTTCTTAGACTGAGTTGGATCCTTTTAACTTCTCTTCTCTGGAGCTATATAGGTTATATTCTCCTTTTATGTTACCCTTCCAAATTTTAATACCTATCCAGTTCCTTCATCTACTCCTCTTAGTAAGAACTACTGCTCATAGTGAGTTTATTGTGTTATAGATGTTGTCATAAACAAAGATCTCAGTTAACTCTTACGCAATCCTAAGAGTAAGCACCTTTCTCCATCTTACAGACAGGAACATGGAGACAAGTTAAATAACTTGCCAAATTTAAATGCCTGACACACTGCAGAGAAGGGATATGAACTCAGGCCCAATTGATGTCAGAACCAACCAAGGAAATCAGCTTCCTTCAAATTAGGTAGCTTCAAATTTCCTCTTTCTCCTCTGTACCTTTCTGATTTGTCACTGTCTTTCTTAAAGTATAATGCCAGAATTCTAGATGTTGTTTCACAAGTGCCCAGTGAAATTTTTATTTTTAATTATATCTTATTGGTACATTTTATATATACAAACTGATCACATTCATCGTAGAGAATTTGTACCTGTACATGATATAACCTGCAGAATGAAAACCCCCTCCTCCCCTTCCTATTACACAAAGCTTCACTTCTATGTTTTCCTTTCTTTTTTTTTTAACTTTTCATTTCTTTGCTTTCCGATCTCCATTTGAACATTTTCCTCCTATTTCACAGTTCTGTTATACATTTTAGTCCTTATTTATGCTTTCAGTTTCTCACACCAGAGAAACAGTGCAGTGCTTGGACACAAGATGCATCCATTTACCTAGAAATGTCCCAAATATATCCTTTTTTATGTCAGAGTTTTATTTCATTACATAAAAAAAACCCCACATCTTCTTTATTCATTCACAAACTGAAGGGCTGGGGAGATGGCTCAGTAGAATAAGCGCATGTATACAATGTGTTAATTATTGAAATTGTCCTACCAATTTGATTTGAAACTGTCTCATTGCTATTTGTTTATCAATAAGATTATGGGAAAAATGAAATATAAAAAAAGAAAAGGTAATGAAAGATTGCTTTTCTATGTGAAGACTGGCAAAAAAGAGAAAATTTTAACACTCCTTGCCAATCCAGATGTACACCGAATTGTTGGAACCACTATAAGTGCAAGAAATTATGGTCTCTGCTGCTAGACAAGGCAGTGCGATTACTATTTATCTGTGATTATGGAAGATATTAATAAAAGTCATTAATAAGATAAAGAAAACAGGATATTGTACCATGTTTTCTTTTGTATAGTGAAATTTTAATTACCATTATTTGAAAGATAAAGCACTTTTCCTGGCCTGCTGTGCTAACCCTAACCCAGGGCATGCTGAGGTTGAGATTTAGCTTGGTGGCGCACACCTGTAATCCCAGTGCTTGGGAAGCTGAAAACAGGAGATCACTACAAGTCTGATCTTTGTATTGAGAACCTGTAGGCCTTGCACTAAATTCAGAAATAAATAAATAAGTAAAATGAAAGATAAAGCACTTTGTAGAAAGCAATGCTATTTTTAGAGGCCCAATTTCTGAGTTGCACTTTAGGGGACCAGTATTATTATAACGTATTGTGATGCAGAATATAGAATTTAAAGTTTGTGAATGCTAAACCCAGATCACTTGGATCCAAACTCCAGCCATGTGGCCTTTGACAAGTTACTTACCTTCTCTGTATCTCAGTTTATTCATCTAAAAAAAATCCAGAGATATTAACAGTATTCACCTTATAGGGTTGTAGGTACAGTTACAAGCACAATATCTGAAAAAGTAAGTACTGTGTAACACTTGCTATCACTATGATTACTTTTCCAGGGTTTTTCTAATTAATTTGCTAACATTGTGCTTATGAACAACCTAAATCTTTTTGTAAGAATATGAATACTAATCACTTCACTTGCATTCCAAGCAAGGATGGTTAATGAATTTGCTACTTACACTAACTCATTAATTGTCTTCTGCTGCTCCTTGGACCTTCTGTACTTTAATAACTTTCTCTGTTCTGGTGTGACAGCATATAGGTTTTCTGGGGGATAAACAATAGGTGGCAATTTCAACTTCAGAGCCTCCTTCTCTGCTGAAATGGCATCTTTGTTTGGATCTGACATCTTGGTCCCCTAAGATTAAAATACTCTGTACTCTGAAAAGAAAACAGTCCATATAGCCATTATTGTAAAGCCAAGCCTTAAGACAGTCATAGCTCACATATCAATACCAAAAATAAAATACTCAGCCTTGTAGATCTTTCTCCCAACCACAATGCTATTAAAGCACACCAGCTGAGGTGCAGGGATTTCTGTATCACTCATTTGCTAGGAAAAATGAAGCCAAACATTTCCATTTCAGTGCTTAAATCTAAGAAACTGAATTAGGCGCTCTCTAAATATCCTTCAAGCTCTAAAATTCTGGGTTAGAGTGTTTCCTGAACCAACATTAAAAAAACAAAACAAAGGGGGCCGGGAAGATGGCTCAGCAGGATAAGCGCTTGACTAGCAAACGCAAGGATCTGAGTTCAATCCCGGTTCCACCAAAAAAAAAAAAAAAAAAACCAGAAAACCCAGTGGTCGAAAGAGAAATCTCCTCCTGCCAGGAAAGCCAACGTTTAACCTCATTAATATTGCTAGTGGGCGTGGTGGAGTGTGCCTGTAATCACAGCATTCTGGAAGCCAAGGCAAGAGGATCACTGCGAGCTCAAGACCAGCCTGGGCTACAAAAGTGAGTTTCACAGCCAGCTTGAGCTGTATAATGAGATCCTGTCTCAAAAAGACAAAAAAAAAAAAAAAAAAGCTAAAAAAATTATTGCAAACCTTCCTACCCTCCTATCAAATGATCTTATGATCAAGCACAAATATTCATACTTTTTTTTTAGAGGTACCAGGGATCGAACTCAGGACCTTGCCCTTGCCCAGCAAGCATTTATTCCACTGAGCTATCTCCCCAGCCCTCAAATATTCATACTTAAAGCATAGCAAATTTAAAATGTCACATAAATGCTCAACAATTGATCTATGTATCTATCCAACTGTGGGATCAATTACGTCTGCCACAGATGTCCGCAAAGTTTAGCGATTCCTGCCCTATTTCTGCTAGGATCCTAATCTAGATCAGGAAGAGAGACAAGAAAAGTTAGAGAACAAGAACCATACCTCTAATTGCTTACTGTCTCAAGGACCAAGAATTACAGAGCTTCTCCTTTGGTGAGAGGAAGGAATTTAATGAAGGGTGAAGCTTCCAGAATCTCACTGGTTCCTTGGTAAGCTAGGGTCACTAACTGAGTTTAAAAGCAACCTTGTGGTTGTCCTGGAAACTCAAGTCACTGCAAGAAGGATTGGCTGAAGTGGGGAAGAGGGAAACAGTTGCTAAGCTACAAAAGAGAGGATCATTTGTCACAACAATAACTCCAGTAAATGGAGGGAGGGTTTTTTAAAGCAAAAAACAAACAAACAAACAAAGAAACCCTAACCACCTTCCCTTGGAGGGCATTTGGAAAATCTGGGTCTATAAGTTTTGGGAAACTGCGAGCTAGAAATGTGCCTCCATTGAGAAAAACACAAAACAAAACTGTATCTTCCTCTCAGAGACAGTCTTCCAGGGTCTCCATAAGGACTTCCTGTAAATATTGTGACTAATCAGCAGTTGATCTCATTTCTCTATTGGCTGCTATTCATTCAGTATATTCAGGAAATCCTTGCTAAAGTCACACAGGGTAAGATGTGCAAGTGTGAGGTCCTGAGTTTGAGTCCCAGTCACCCGCCCCCCGCCCCCGCAAAAAGAAAAAAAAAAGGTATGAACTTGGCAAACATGCTTGGAGAAAAATTGTGATAGCTGCAACTCACAATGCCTCAGTGTATAATCCAACTGAAGAACAGCCTGTGTGAACACCATGTGCCTAAAAAAAATGGAAGGATTTTATCCTGGTGGTGTACTGATGGCATATTCATTTGACAAATATCACTATGTGCCAGTCAGTGTCAAGAATTTTAATGAGGGTCTAGCCTACATTACTGTATCTGGCACACTGTAAGTACTTCATAAATGTCATTTAAAGTGAGCGAATGGACCATTTTGTATCTGTGTATTCAAGATGGTTAGGATAAATAGCTACATTCTCTCAATTCAAGGAATAGAGGCATTTGTTCTAATAGTGTTTGCAAATAGGATATCATGTCTGCATCTTGTACAAGTAACCACTAGGAAGTATGCAATGTGTTAATTATTGGAACTGTCCTACCAATTCAATTTGAAACTGTCTCATTGCTATTTCTCAATAAAATTATGGAAAAAATAAATATAAATAAAAAAATAAAGTGAGAGAATGATGAGGCTTAGAGAATAATCCCATGACTCAGGAGGCTGAGGCAGGAGGATCACTACAAGTTCCAGGCCAGCCTAGACTATACTGTAAGTTCAAATCCAGCCTGAACTACGTAGCAAGACCTTGTCTCAAAAATAAAATTTAAAAATAAAAGTGAGGGAATAAAACTTTTTGATAATCGTAAAGCATATTGGTTTTCTGCCAGCACTAGAGCCACAAATCTGCTTTTGATTTCTACGGGTTTGTAATTTCTGAAAAGCATCATACATTATATAGTCTTCTGTGTCTGGCTTTTTTCACATAATGCTAGCGTGTTTCAGGTTCATCCATGTGCAATGTATAATAGAAGTTACTTTTTATTTCTGGATTCCATTATATGCAGATATTTTATTTAACCATTCACCAGTTTGAGACTACTGTGCATGGAGTTTTAGCTCTATATATGCTTGGATGAACGTAATTTTCATCTCTCATGATATGAGATCTACATAACTGCTGACTTGAATGGTAAGTCTATGGTTAACACTTTAAGAAACTGCCAAACCCTTTTCCAAAGCAGCAGAAAGATTTTACATTCCTACCAAAATGAGGGTTTGTTTCTCCACATCTTTCCCAGCATCTGGTATTGTGTTTTTTGAGTATAGTTATTCTTGTGAGCATATAGTGGTATCTGACTGTGGTTTTAATGTGTATGTCCCTATGACCATCTTTTTATGTGTTTTATGAGCCATTAATATAATTTCATATTCATCTCCTATCTCCTTCATGGTGTTAGTAATTGAACTTGGGGTTTTTCTGATGCTGGGCAAGTGCTTTCCGCTAAGCTACAGCCCAGCCCATGACACATCTTTTTTGGATGAAACATCTATCAAAATGTTGCCCATTTTTCTTATCATCTGATTTTAAGTGTTTTTTATATATTCCAGATGCAAGACTTTTATCAGAGAATTTGCAAATGTATTTTTGCGGTCTGTATTAAGATTTACACTTTTCATAATGGTATTACTTAGTGGGGTGTTCTTTTTGAGACACAGTCTCACTATGTAGTTCAGGCTGGCCTCAAGCTTGGAGCAATACTCCTGCCTCAGCTTTCTGAGGGCTGGGGTTAAAAACATATGCCACAATACCGGTTGAGTTGCATCTTTTGAAGACCGTAAGTTTTTGTCTTTGATTAAAGTTCCATGTTCGCAAAAAAAAAAAGAAAAAAAAAAAGATTCATAATATCTATTGCTTCCTTTTATAGATTGTGATTTTTTAAATAAAAGACAGATAAGGTTATAAAGATTTTCTCTGGGGCTGGTGAGATGGCTCAGTGGTCTAAAGCACCTACTTGGAACAAGCTTGGCAAAGTGAAGGGACCGCGTTCGATCCCCCAGCACCATATGCCAGTCAGCT